TTAAAGAAAATGATTCAACTTACATTGGCTAATTCTAATCTGTTTCATTTATTAAAAGCGAATGAAAGACAGGTTTTATTAACGTTTACTCGTTTCTTTCCTGATTTCAGAGTTCTCAGTAGATTATCAGTGTGGAGGGAAGAAATCGATCGAGGAGGCATCATGTCAACGTATCGCCGGGCAAACAGCACGATGTCAATCGCAACGGTGAGTGCATTAACAGTTTGCTGAAACGCTAGAGACAGAGTTTGTCGGACCTCACTTGTCAAAAGTTCAATTAACAATTTTCAACTACAGTTTGCAGCTCCAATTATATCAATCGCCCGACAGGCAAACTGCAATCAGCGCTAACACGTGGACTGATTTCTTTTAAATAGACATTAAGGACTTTAGTTTGCAACAAATTTGTATAAAAGAAGATGTTTAATTTATTTGTAATGAGAATTATTACTTTAAAGAAAATGATAGAATAATTTAATCACTGTATGAGAATTTGATTGCATTTATAATGCAATGCATGATTGTTATGAAATATTCTCTGTGATTTATTGTTTATAATTTGTTTATAATTCATCAGAGCACGTGACGAAGATCGAGGTGGAGCTCGAAGAGACTACCGAGGAGGAAATGATTCTGGTTGGATCGATGCCATCCAAATTGGATGAGAATTCGACCTACCCTGGTGGTGAGTGTAAAAGTTTGGGTCCCGAGAGAAATACCGTCGTCATGTTTCATTCTTACCTAACGAGCGTGCAATCTTTGCGAGCGGAGATCCGAAAAAAAAAAAGAGTACAAGACATTTTGGAAAATGAACTTTCCGTTTCATCGAAATCGTCCGGCGACGATAAGGCGGAAACTCGATGCGAAGGAAGTTTGCTTTTTAAATGACGCATGAGAACGCTTTCAGTCATCTGTATACACATCATGCATACATATGTATATCCACATTCCTGTATTCTTAAGGGCGACACAGAAAGTAATGAAAGCGTGATGTACCGCTTCAAGTTTCGAGTACGTTTTAAAGCTTCGAGCTTGGACGCTCGTTTAACCCGAATCTCTTTACATTAAGATTATCATAAAATCGCTAAGTAGCTAGGTTGGGTCCTCCCTTCGACGATTACGCTAAAGGAATGCATTTTTCCATCTATTATCCCAGCGAAATTAACACTAGAAAGACTGAAACTTAGTATATACCTATATTGCCCAAAGC